GCCCGAGTACACTGCCCTGAGGTACTCCTCTGGAGACCAACACCCACTCAGATGTTACGTCTCCAATTTTGACTTTCTGCAATCTTCCAGAGAGATAGTTCTCGAAGAGCGTACAAGCACCGTCACTCAGGCCATACGCTTTTAGTTTGGCTAAAAGAAAAGCATGTGGTATCGTATCCAACGCCTTCGATAAGTCCATTGAGACATCCCCAACGAGTTTTTTTTTGTCTCTACTCCTTTTCCAGTCGTCTGTTAGTCTAAGAAGCGAATTCTCACAACTGTAAAATTTTCTGTAGGCGGAGAGAAACTTTGATAGGAGCCCACTGAAGAATTCTTCGAACTGAGAAGTCAGTAGCTTTTCAAATATATTATTCAGACAGGGAGTACTATGGGTGCCTGTACGGTATAAATATTAGGAAAATCATTAAGTGAACTTTAAATTTGATTTATACGTGTAGAAAAAATCACACGATTTGTTTATTTTTTACCTTGATACTCACTGTAACCTGGGCAGTGGGGATGAGTGCTCGCCTCCCGCTGCTACAGCTCGGGCTGGATTTCGGGACCTGACGACACATGTGGGTTGTGTTTGTTGTTGGTTCTCCTCCTTTCCCCGAGGGTTTTTCTCTGGGTCCTTTGGTTTTCATCTCTTCGCAAAAACCAACATTCCTGGAAGAGCCACCACGTGGAATGTTCAATGCTAGATGATAATGAGAATTATTATTATTTTAATTATTATGATTATTAGTATTATCAACCCACCATTCGGAGGTGTTTCACTTTGTACAACCCTTTTGCTGTTCCCCGTGTACCTGTACATTTATAAGGTTGTACCTCGATTTTCGCGATTTAGAAACTGTTCTGTTTACCGTTATTTCCCCTCCAGCCTTTCTTAGCGGAAATATTCAAGACGCCGAAGATGAGTCCAAGGAAGAAAGGAAAATCGAGTTAGTGTCTCTGCTGAGTTTATATTAAAGTGAATTTTAAATCAGTGTCGAAATGCCGAAACCGAAGTAGTCACAACAGTCATACAAAAGAAAGAAAATGTCAGAAAGAACCAATGAGAACTCAGAATTAAAACAGGCAACCACTTCACGCGCAATCACGCATGTTTAACCAAATCGTGATTGGTTTTTTTGGATTAAGCCGAGGTTGGCTTGAGTTTTTCTGGAGAAACACTTTGAGGTTTTGCTGCTCTATTGAAAATTGCTCTTGAATCAGAGGTTAGGTTGCAAACACAGAGACGAACTAAAACTGATATTTTTCTGTTGTTCGCCCTTTGTTTCTCTCTGTTTGTAGATATCCAAGATTACCAAGTGACTTCACAGGTGCGAGACGTTTTCCTACATTTAGGACAAGTGACAATTTAATCACTTCGGGGAAGGGAGGGGGAGTGGGGGAAAGTATTACAGATAAAAGGACCGCTCAGACACACAGGTCACAGGCAGGAAAATTGTCTACCTTTTTTTCCTTGCCGGTCGCTAACACAGGTGGCTCAAGCTGCAATTTAGTGCCAATTTACTCGATGATAATATAAGATTGTTCTGTTGTCTCCCGACAAAGTCACTAGTTGTAGGACGCAACGTTTCGACTGCTTACTGCGAGTTTTCTTCAGGCGATGGGGTCGACTGGTTGCAGCACAGCATTATATATCATGGTGGTCTGTTGTGATTGGTGCGTTTCGATCCCGCTATTGTTTCCATGCACCATGATTTCCTCAGGCCTTCGTGGATTTTTCGCGCGTCGTTTGTTTTGGTGTTTTCTTAGTTTCTTAGTGAAGGCATCCACGCTTCCGGTATTTCGGCTCCGTTGACCCTGTTTATGTTGTTTGGGTTGAGTCTTATGTGAATTGCCCCTTTCATTTTCCTTGTGTACCAATGGCTGTCTCGGTCAAGAAGCTTTATTTCGTTCCACAGCGGCTTGTGTACGGTTCCTTTGGCATGTTCTGAAACCGCGGAATTCTTAGTGCGTGCGAGTCATACATCCCTGTCGTGTTCTTTCGTTGTCCCTTGCATGGGTCGTCCTGTTTCTCCGATGTAGACTGTGCCGCATGTGCATGGTATCTTGTAGACTACGCCATCTTGCTTGTACGGATGAGCGGGATCTTCTGATCTGACCAGCCGAGATCTTGGTGTGGTGTCGGACTTAACGACGGTGTGTATTCCTTGTTGCTGTAGATGGCGGTGGAGGGGTTCTGAGACTCCTTTGATGTCTGGCAGTACTGCGGTAGACTTGAATTCTGGTGTTGGATTTCCTGGTTTTGGTCACCTTCTGTAAGAAGGACGGAGGGTAGCCGTTGGCGACGAGAACTGTAGATAGATGTTTCCTCTCCTGGGCTGTTCTTAATGGCTTGGTGATGATGCGTTTGGCCCGATCATGTAAACATTTGTCAGTACCGCGTTTAACCGATTGTGGATGGTGTGAATCATACGCGAGGTACTGGTCGGTGTGTGTGGGTTTTCTGTAAACACTTGTGAGTAGTTTGCCCTTTGGTTCCCTTGTTGCGAGGGTGTCGAGAAAGGCGACAGGAATATACGACTCGCACGCCCTCAGAATTCCGCGGTTTCAGAACATGCCAACGGAACCGGACACAAGCCGCTGTGGAACGAAGTAAAGCTTCTTGACCGAGACAGCCATTGGTACACAAGGAAAGTGAAAGGGGCAATTCACACGGACACAAGACTCAACCCAAACAACATAAACAGGGTTCATGGAGCCGAAATACCGGAAGCGTGGATGCCTATGATAAGAAAACATCAAAATCAACGAACGCCTGAGGAAACCATGGTGTATGGAGACAATAGCCGGATCGAAATGCCCCAATCACAACAGACCACCATGATACATAATGCTGTGCCGCAACCAGTCGACCCCATCGTCTGAAGAAGCCTTGCAGTAAGCAGTCGAAACTTTGAGTTCTACATCTAGGGACTTTGTCATAAGACGACAGAACAAATTTATATAATCATCCAGCTGCCAATGAGCAACAACCTATTTCATAACCATTTACTCGATATTACACAGTGACAGTTTAACGTTCTTGTTTCTCCCTTAATTCTCTCGAAAGTGTTTTGAAATACGTTCAGTGTATTTTTGTTGTTTGTCATTTTCCCCTGAACGATTTTTGTCAAATTGGGTTGGGTTTTAACTACCTTCCCCGCCATGCCAAAACGATGGAATGATCGGCGAGGGATCCATTTCACGACAAATATTTTTCTCTGAAATATTCACGCAACCGAAAGCTGCGCACGCACGGCCAAAGGAAGTATTTATCGAAGTGCAATTGTTATCCTATCGGCATCGGCGTAGGAGGCGCGGTGGCTTAGTGGTTAGTGCGCTGAAAAGGTTGGCCAATGTGTTGTAATCTTGGGCAAAACACTTAACTCTCACAGTGCCTCTGTGTCCAGGGGAAGCCTGGCATCCCATCCAGGGGGGAGTAGTAATACACCTTGTCGCTTCATGCAAATGAAAACCAGGATAAGCCCGGCTAGGTGAGGGCACTGGACTCGAGTACAGACTTAAACTACCTTTATCAGCCATCAGCGTATCTGATCTCCAGTGCTACCACGGCAAAATGAAACCTATTTACCCCTGACATCAGA